ATTTGATCCAAAAAATGGATGTTGGGATTTTTCAGCAGCCCATTTACAGAGGATTTTGGGGGCTTTTTGTTTCTGGTCAGCGTAGAATTTTCTGTGTTTTGGCTTTGGATTTCTCGTTTTATAAGCTTGTTGGACGGCAACGGCTACCTTTTTTTATTATTTTAATTTGTAGATATTTTTTTGCTCTTAAATTTACTTTTTTTTTCTAATGTGTTAAAAAAATAGTGGGAAAATGGGGAATTTACCGACAGGATTTGCAGAGAGCCACCGTCTGGTCCAAATGCCACGGAGGTTGTTGGTCGGTTACCGTCCGTTTGATTATGGCCGTTGGTATAGCCGTTGGACTCAATCTGACCGTTGATCTCATCTTCATCATCCTCGGTCTTCTCGAATTTTTCTTTTTTTTCTCATACGTATTTTGTACGACATGTGGGCCCCACATGATTATAATCAATACGCCTTTTTTGAATAAGATATAGTGCACCCTGCAAATAAAATTAGTATATTTGTTAGCATTATGGTAGAGTATATATATTATTACTCCCATTAAATAATGATATTTGCAATTGTGAGAGATTCAAAGTCATGTAGTAAGTCTTTCAAATCAACTCACATGCATTTTATCGAACTTTCGAGAAAAAGAATGGTTTAGATTCGTAGGGATCAGAGGTTTACGAAAGTTTGCATCAACTATGAACAAATACTTATCTTTACTTTGAGATCGTAGTTATACGAGAAGACAATTATGTGTTAACTTTTTATCTTTGATTTCTAGAAGTCCTCGACCTCATATCATTATTTTCCTACCTGCAGTTTCTTCAGACCTTTATTTCACTTGTGACACGATATTTGTATGGCTAACGAACCTTGTTTTTGAGATTTTATGTTATAAGTATCTTGAATTGTTTTGTTCTAAAACTACCTCTGGTTAATATTTTGAGCTAAGTAATTAGATGATTAGGGTAATTAGAGTAATTAGGTTATTAGAGTAATTAAGTGCATTTATTGATCCTCATCGCTAGTCTTATTAACAAAAAAGGTTATTAGAGTAATTAAGTGCATTTATTGATTCTCATCCCTAGTCTTATTAACAAAAAAATAAAAATAGAAAAGCAACGATATGGACCATTTGAGATTGATAAAACGAAAGAAATTAACAGATTAAAATAAGGAAGTAAAATTAACCCTAACACAATGTTTTTTCAAATTAATACAAGCTCCTAAATCTATAAAATTAATATTTAATTATGAAAGTCAAAGCGAACATAGATCAACTGATTAAGATATATCTATCTCCAATCAATAAATTTGAATTCTCATCCCCTCATATTGTACCAAAAAAAGATTGGAGGAGAGAAAAAACCCGTACCATTTTGCTATTATTTAACTTTTTTTTAATGGTGACAACAACATCAGATCTTTTTAAGGAGTTAAGAGTCTAAAGAAACTCATAGGCTGTTAAACCTTAAGTAGGTGGCCATCAATGTTTCAACCTATTGTCTTTAAATTCTTTATAATTTGCTCAGGGTCTTTTTAGACCAATAGGTCAAATATTGTTAAGGATTCCACATTGAAAATATAAGAGATCTAACACATGTTTATAATTTAAAGTGGACTATTTATCTCATTGGCAAACGATGAAATTTCATGAATATTAATATGGTATCATCAGAGGCCAAAACACTCAAATGAGGATTCAACCAAGATCTATGAGTCAAAAGAGTCGATATAAGTGAACATTCCTCTCCGAACCAATTAATTTTGTGAGATGTAATTTTATAAATATTGATACATATCACAACAACTCCAGGAGTATTTAGATGATAAATTTGTCTAATAAAAGTAAATTTAAGTATAAAATAAAATAAAATACCAATAAATATGCTTGTTTTGAAATAAATTTAATCTTTTTAAAAATTAGATGAATAAATAACATTAAAAATCTCAACTTGTTCGTCACTGAAAACCATGCTTATAAAATAATATTTTTATTTTTTATAGCTTATTTTAAAATTTATCTAAAAACTAGATGGCATATCTTGCAATTGCATTAAAATTGAAATCTAACTTAATTTTCAAAGCCAAAAAGTTAAAGACAATATGATGGCATATCTTGCATTAACTGGAAATCTTTCACGTGAAGTAATAATAAAGATTTTTAAATTATTATAATATAAGAGCCCTACTTTTATAAACACAAAAAAAGAAAAAGTAAGAGCAAAAAAGAAATCCCTCTTTGGCCAATTAATAATTTTTCTATGTTTGGTTTAACTCTAGCTTTGCTCCATAGGTTTACGCATGAATTCTTATTTTACTTTGTCAGGGGATTGCAAAATTACTTAATTAATGTAACAATTATTGTTGGATTGTGGTTGGTTAAAGTGGCTAATAATACTACGATCTCTTTTTTTTATATATATGATATTTTTAATACAATATATATAAGTGGAAATTCGAATTAGTTGGAGATAGATATCTTAGTCAGTTAAGCTATGCTTAGGTCAGTTTTTTATTGATATGGTTGAAAAAAGAGACCGTGTTATTAATTTTACTAAATATACTTTTCTAATTATTTATTTTTCTTTAAAAAAGACCACGTGGTGCTTTTGAGGGTGTCATCAACATCTAATAATGCGTTACTGATATACAAAAGAAGAAAACAAAGGACAAATGAGGAGATTATAGAGATTAAGAAAAAAAAAAGAAAGAAGAAGGAAAAGGAGCTGATTCATATTGTATTGTATGGAATTAATTTTTCCTTGGTCGGTTTCTCCCCAAGCTTTTGTCAACTTTCCATGCATATTCCTTCAAAAAGGAAAAAAAAAATTTCTATGTATATATAGAGAGAAAAGAAATATGTCAAGGATATGGTTGTGGAAAATTCCAATAATGTACAATCACTTTTGTTTTCTTCATAAAAATATCTTCTATATAAAAATATATTTACTCTCTCGGTCGAAAGATGTTTTAAAATTAAGCATAATTATTGATAGATGTTGGGTTTGTRAGGGGAATGCAAAAAAAGTCTCATATTGATTAGACAACAGAATAGTTCATGGTATATAGATGTGGACAATTATCTCTGTTGGTATGAAGCTTTTTTTTGGATAAAATAAAAAATAAAGTCGCGAGKACTATGTCCGGACAATATCATAGAAAAACTATTTTGACAGCTTCTATTCTAATATTTGGTCAAAATTCTAAATTAATTAAAGAATAATAATATTTGCTTGTTGGATTGGCAGTTGTAAATTAATTAAATATCCGCCATATCCTCAAAATATACCCAAATAAAATAAGTAAAATAATATATAAAAACATAAATATATTATGTAATCTGGAGAGAGAGGAAGCCCATCTCAGCMTTTCTCATGGGCAATAGATAGTGAATGTTGAGTAATGGGCCTCAAATATAGCCTCCAAAATGAATTTTTCAAAGAAAAATATTCTGTTAAATTAAATGGGTTAAATATATGTCTAATATACGAGGTTTGAATGTTTTTTTCAATTTGGTATTTCTTGTTTTA